AACATGTGGTTCACTTGGTCTTGAAGAATGGCCATCTCGGTGGTCACTCCCGACATCTTTGCTGGAGTCGGTTCCCATTCCTCGGCACTTTCCTCCCCCAGCTCCTCCTTGATGTGACTCCATGACTTGTCGGACCCATTGCCCTTCTGTTTGACCGGGTTCTTGTTCTGGTATCCCTCGGACTTGATCTCCTGGTCCAACTTCTTTTCTACATACATCACGTACTTCTGGTGTTCCATTTTGGGACTCTTTTCGTATTGGCTCACAAACCAATCCGTCCACTTGTGATCCTTGAAGGCTTCCGGAAACGGTGTCCCCAGCTTTGCTTTCCCAAACGCGATCACTTCTTTCTCCAGTTCCTGCAGGCTGAGCTTCTTCAGGTCGGCTACACGATCCTGTGATTGGTGCTCTTCCATCTTGGCTCGATACTGACCCAACTTCTGAGACACTGATGCCATGATTCACGTGGGAACGCTGATCGGAAGGTGTTGGCTCGGTCTCTTTTGTGCCAGTGCAACTACGGTGTTCGACATGTTCTACGGAAATCTGCTGGCAGGCTTCTGATTTCGAATGCATTGCAACCGGCATGAATGGCTGGTCAACCTGATTGACCTGCAAAACCTTCTCAACTTCAGCATGCTTTGGCATGGAATCCTCACTGGGTTGAGGCGGCTGACTATCTGCAATTTTGGACTCGGATACCAAACATGTCTCAGGTCCTACCATTTTGGCAGATACATTGCATTGCCCTGAGATTTCGGAAGGCCACAGCTCATTAAGGTCCATCAAAAACAAGTTCTTGTGATTTCGTGACACCTTCAATTGACGGCTGAGAAACTTGCTCCACATGGTTTCTTGCTCCGTGTCAATTACTGCTTGGATGCCCTTGAGAAATGAACTTGAAATCAAAAACGGTGTGTTGCCCTCCACAACTGCAATTCTGAAAAATTGGTCTCCCAAAGGCAGCATGAGTGCATGTCGACTGACCAAGGTTTGATGATTTCCAAATCGAAAAACCAAGTTGCAAGACTGGCGACGAACACGGCTGCGCACCCATTCCGGAATCTGTTTCAACAACTCAGGAACTTGTTTGCTACCTATCACAGTCTGAGAGGCACCTAGGTCAACAATTCCTATGGATCCGGATGATGCGAACAGGCTTAGGTGTTCGGAGTCTTCTAGCGATACATGGGGCTCACTTCTTTGAAGCTTCAGCTTGCGCAGGGTGGCAATGCTCTCACGGATGCTCAAATGGGTCGGCACACTCTTAGAACCCAGCTGGCTCCTGGAAAGAACCCGCTTGAACTTACTGAAACCCCATTTATCCCCAATAGTTACCTTATCATCCATCATTGTCAGACAAACTTCATCATCCCACACCCCAGTTTTCTCCTCAGTGGTGGACAGGTTGAGCAGCTCTTCAGGGATCTCGGCCGTGGTCACAAATGATGTCGGTGCGGTCGATGGAGCCGCAGATGATGCCGTACTTCTGGAAGGGCACTCGTTCTTCCAATGGCCTTTCTTCATGCAGATGCGACAATAGGAGTTTGCAATCCTATTGGCGAGAGAACTCTTTCCCTTGCCCTTCACTTTGCCCTTTTTGCCCGATCCCTTTTCTCCACGTTTGACAGCCCAGAAGCCTCTGAAGCGCACCTTTTCAGACAACCTCTTTCGAGCCTCTTGGTACGAGGAGTAAAAGGCACAGAGCTCAGCATCATTCTGCACTGTTTCCGCCACTGCATCTTTAAATTGAAGTACAAGTGCTGCATCATCGTCATCCTCCGCTGCAAGACTTTCCAGTGTGGAATCGTCCAGAAAGTCATCCTGAACCCAAAACGTCTCATTCTCGGTGTCCATGTTTTCCGATTGATCTTCCAAAGTGAAGGCTGTGTGGTCATACGTCTTGAGGCTCTTCTCCCTTTTGAACCCCACCATGTCTTGAAAAAAACCTGAACCAATCATTCTCACAGCTGCTTCCACTTTGGATACTTCTAAGGCCCCACCTTTCTCAGCTCCAGAGTCCACTATGACCCGTTTCTTGTCTTCACTTCCAAGTCGACTTCCTCGAAGAAGTATGTAGGCCTGAATCTCTGCCATGTCAATCTTCTTGCCAATCAACTCCGTCCATACCACGTCACAACGGGACAGATAGGAGTCACTGCTTTCGTCCATCTTTTGCTGACTGCGGTAAAGTGCTTTCTCTACCAACTCGAATTTCTTCTCCAAGGGAATGGCCCCCCATTTACCTCCAACCAGTTCCACCAGCCTCTGAATCCCCTGAGGGTCGTTGATCAAAATCTCCTTGCGGTGAAGTTGAAGTTTCTGGAAGGCAGTCCCCTTACACCCCAGCACCAGACGTGTGGCTAACTCCTGAATCTTGTTGGCAGGCCATGCTGAAAGCAGCAATTCTACCTTGTTCGTCCAGATTTCCACGTTGTCCACTGCCGGATCAAAACTCGGCACCAGTATAGACAGGTTATTGGGAACTTGTCCAACTTCTGCTGAAGCTTCTCCACTTTGCCCTGGCGAAGCCATCGTCCGGGCTCCGCTACCAGTTTAGAGCTGGTAGCGGCCCAACCAACTGAGCTCCCTGAGCTCCCAAAAGGTTCCACCTCGCTGCACCGCAGCGTCCGCTATGTTTTCCTCCAATCGCTGAATGCACACGGTGCAAGGGATCGGCCACGATCCTCCTATGGCTCAAAGCCTATGCCCACCCACCTGCTTAGCTCACGGAGCCCCAGGCTTCGGCAATGATGGATGTATGGGATGGTGCACATGTAGGCTGACAAGGAGTTGCACATTGGGAAATGGCAGTGGTTTCACAGCATATATATATATATATGTATGTAATGTATGTAATGTATGTAATGTATGTAATGTATGTAATGTATGTAATGTAATGTAATGTAATGTAAAGTAATGTAATGTAATGTAATGTAATGTATGTATGTATGTATGTATGTATGTATGTAATGTATGTATGTATGTATGTATGTAATGTATGTATGTATGTATGTCTGTATGTATGTATGTATGTAATGTATGTATGTATGTATGTATGTAATGTATGTATGTATGTATGTATGTATGTATGTATGTATGTATGTATGTATGTATGTATGTATGTATGTATGTATGTATGTATGTAGTATGTATGTATGTATGTATGTATGTATGTATGTATGTATGTATGTATGTATGTATGTATGTATGTATGTATGTATGTATGTATGTATGTATGTATGTATGTATGTATGTATGTATGTATGTATGTATGTATGTATGTATGTATGTAATGTAAGTATGTATGTATGTATGTATGTATGTATGTATGTATGTATGTATGTATGTATGTATGTATGTATGTATGTATGTATGTATGTATGTATGTATGTATGTATGTATGTATGTATGTAATGTATGTAATGTATGTAATGTATGTAATGTATGTAATGTAATGTAATGTAATGTAATGTATGTATGTATGTATGTAATGAATGTATGTATGAATGTATGTATGAATGTATGTATGAATGTATGTATCTAATGTATGTATGTAATGTATGTATGTAATGTATGTATGTAATGTATGTATGTAGTGTATGTATGTAATGTAATGTAATGTAGTGTAGTGTAATGTAATGTAATGTAATGTAATGTAATGTAATGCATGTATGTATGTATGTGTGTATGTATGTATGTATGTATGTATGTATGCATGTATGCATGTATGCATGTATGCATGTATGCATGTATGCATGTATGCATGTATGCATGTATGTATGTATGTATGTATATATGTATGTATATAATATATGTACATATATATATATGCACATGTATATATATATATGCACATGTATGTGTATATGTGTATATATATATATATGTACATATATGTGTATATGAATATATATATAGCTATATCTAAGATTATTACTATAATTATGGATACTTATCATAAACACCAGAAGTTGAAGCAAACTTAGGTTGACATGGCATAGACATTTTTTTTACTCACCAACTTGATCCAAATCGATCGGATGGTTGAATCATGACCATGACCAACAATGACCAACCATGATTTTTGGGGGTCCATTCATACCCCAGTTTTGAGCTTTATTTCTCTGACAGGATTGAGAAGGAGGTTCATTGAAAAAGATAGATCAGAAGATCAGCAAAACGGGTGTACTTTTAGCTACTTTCGTTTTTTTTATCCGATTTATGGTGCCCAGTTTTAAGTTGGTTTAGTGAAACACCCCATTGACCAACTAGATGTATTTACCCCAAACCCAGAGGGATCATTTTTACTAGACGGATCATCCTGAGCTGAACATCTTCACCGGTTTTCCCCATGGATTTTCCTATGATTTTTTCATGGGGCTTTACATTGGGAATTGGTTGCTACCTGCAATCCGCGGTGAAAAAGCCATGGTTTCTTCGAGCTGGAACATGTTGCTCTTCCATGATCTACCGATGACTGGTGGTTCCCATCCAAACTAAGATATAGTGTACGCTGCCAAACAGGGGGCTGGAAGATTCCTTTCCCCCAAAACATTTACTATTTTCAGGGTCTACATATCTTAATTTACTGGTGCTTAGGATTAGCAGTAAACCAAAAAAAAGTCTGGATACGATTGCACAAACCACCCATCCTTCGGTCATGGGTCTAACCCCTGGCGCCCTGTTGAAGTCAAAATAGCTGAGGTTTATCAGGGGTTGGTATTGATGTCCTTTTTTTGTGAATTTGTTTCACACATGACTGTAAAGTCTCTGTTAGAGATTATGTTCCCAAATGTTTTGGGTGATGTTGAATGATATACCCTCTGGTTATGACTAACATAGCCATGGTATAGATGGCCCATAGAAATAGATGGTTTACCGAACTTAGAAATGGCTATGTTGGACATAACCAGATGGTAGGACATTTGCCAAGCCCCGTTGATAGATGTTCATCCCCCAATATCAATTGATAGGTCCTATCGATCCATGGCTGACAGGGACTACTGGACCAGCTCCCCAAGAAACCCAAGGAGCGACTGGCTGATTCAGTGTCACGTGGGAAATTTTTGGCTGAAAAGAACTGGCATCAGATTTTGGAACTCGGTTTACCATGACTTTTCGCCAAAAAAAACATAGTTTCTTCGTTTACCATAGGACTTTTCCCAGCAAACATGGACTTTTCACATTCGGTACCTGATGTCCAGGGAACCTGCGAGCCGGTTAGCTGATGATCTGGGAGCCGCTGGTTAGCTGGTCCCAATGGATGATATCCCGCTAACTAAACAGCAAAGGTTCAGCAAAGGTTCTAGCAACAATTAACAAAGATGACTAACAGTTTGCCATGGATTTTATCACCATGCTATTAATAGATAAACCATCTATTTCGATTAGGGCCATTTCCCAATTAACAAAGATTAACAAAGATTGAATGATGATTGTTTAATGACGATGAATTGCTTTGTTAATGATCTGGTTGGTGGTTTCAAACATGACTGGATTATTTTCCATAATATATGGGATAATAATCCTTCCCATTGACGAACTCATATTTTTCAATGTGTTTTTTTAAACCACCAACCAGTGATGATTGTTGATGATTTTCATGGGCCTAAAAAGATTATCTGGCGCCAGAAACTGCGCTGGGTTGGTTTTCTGCCTCTGACCACGAAGAAAACCAGGTTCTGTAGTAACAGTTACTGAAAGCCAAGATTTTCAGGACATCTCCGCCATTTTCTCCAACAACTTCCACATATTCTCCGAAAAAACGGCATCAGTAAATCAACACAAACATGGAACACCCGCCAAAGGTCACACTTTCCTTGGCTTTCACCCATGATCATTCTGTGAATTTACGGGGGGTAAGTTTCCAGGCCACCAAATCACCAAGTGGTTTTTTGTTTGTGCCCTGTACTAACCATATTCTATTGTTATCATTATCTTGACCTATATGACCTGTATGTATATCATACTATATCATACCCTTCAGCACCCCCACTTGCTTTGATTTTATCACCAAAGAAACGACATTGTTGGATAGAATATTTGCCATATGGCCTGATCATCTTAGTATCACATACTATACTCATCCTTTATCTTCTTGTACGATGATCACTTACAGTAATGCTGGATTCACCGCCATAGTCACCATCCCCACGTCATGAATCAACGGGGGGCCGGCGTTTGGTCGTAGGCTTCGCAGCGGAGCTCGGTGGTGATCTGCTTCAACACCGCGCTGTCCGCGTTGCACAACGCCACGCAGTGGCGTTTGGCGCTGCAGCTGCTACGACGCTTTGATGAGGAGCAGCTGACCCCCACGGTGCACCGGTTGGGATTCCGGCTGGGTACCAAACAAAAAGCGGGGAAACCTGGTGAAGTGATCATGGGAATGTAGATGTCGTGTTTTTGTAACCATGAGATGTTTTATTTTGGTTAAGTGTGGATTTATACTTTATGTTAGTTTATGGCCATTTGCAAATGGTGAACATGGGTATGGTTGGAGTATCAGTGCTGAGCAACCGGGATGAGTTCTTTTTCTGCTATATATGTAGACAATTGTAGACACAATTTCTCTTGCTGCTCCCATTATCATTACCATTACTGTTACTACTCTTAGTCTTACTCTTAGTCTTACTCCTAGTCTTACTCTTAGTCTTACTCTTAGTCTTACTCTTAGTCCTACTCTTCCTACTCTTCCTGCTACAACAGCAACAGCAACAACAACAACCACCACCACCACCACCACCACCACCACCACCACTACTCCTCTCCTGCTACTATATCCATTATCTATCCATTATCTATCCATTATCTATCCATTATCTATCCAATCTACCCTATCTATCCTATCTATCCTATCTACCCTACCTATCCAATCTATCCTATCTATCCTATCTAGCCTATCTAGCCTATCTACTCTATCTATCCTATCTATCCTATCTATCCTATTATTCTATCTATCTAATCTTATCTAATCTTATCTAATCTTATCTAATCTGATCTAATCTTATCTAATCTTATCTAATCTTATCTTATCTAATCTGATCTAATCTGATCTAATCTGATCTAATCTTATCTAATCTGATCTAATCTTATCTAATCTTATCTAATCTTATCTTATCTAATCTGATCTAATCTGATCTAATCTTATCTAATCTAATCTTATCTAATCTTATCTAATCTTATCTAATCTTATCTAATCTTATCTAATCCTATCTATCTATCTAGCTATCTATCTAGCTATCTATCTATCTATCTATCTATCTACCTACCTACCTATCTATCTATCTATCTATCCATCCATCTATCTATCTATCTATCTATCTATCTATCTAGTTAATCCAATCTAATTAATCCAATCTATCGATCTATCTATCGATCTATCGATCTATCGATCTATCTATCGATCTATCTATCTATCTAATCCTATCTATCTAATCCTATCTATCTAATCCTATCTATCTAATCCTATCTATCTAATCCTATCTTTCTAATCCTATCTATCTAATCCTATCTATCTAATCCTATCTATCTAGTCCTATCTATCTAAGCCTATCTATCTAATCCTATCTATCTAATCCTATCTATCTAATCGTATCTATCTAATCCTATCTATCTAATCCTATCTATCTAATCCTATCTATCTATCTATCTATCTATCTGTCTAATCCTATCTATCTGATCCTATCTATCTATCTATCTATCTATCTGTCTAATCCTATCTATCTGATCCTAGCTATCTAATCCTATCTAATCCTATCTATCTATCTATCTGTCTGTCTGTCAATCTATCTCTCTATCTATCTTTTTTCTTTCTGTCTGTCTGTCTTTCTTTCTTTCTTTCTTTCTTTCTTGCTTTCTCTCTTATCTGTCTATCTATCTATCTATCTGTCTGTCTGTCTGTCTGTCTGTCTATCTGCAAGTTTGAATACGAAGCTATTCTGCGAGACTTCCTCAATGTTTGAACTTCACAACATCGAAAACGCAGCAATCCCCGAGAGTACCTCAATGTTTTAAGTTGACAACGTCAAAAGCGAAGCTGCGAGACTTCCTCAATTTTGAAGTTGGCCACATCAAAAACGAAGCAATTCTGGGAAACTTCCTTCAATAATGGAAAGTTAGCTGACGGCCTCGTACCAATGCGTCTTGCGATTTTTTCCAGTCCATGTGTCTAAAGCATTGCGCCTGCCACGAAAAAGTGAGGCCAGGTCATACGAAATGCTGCACCTGTCACACAAAATCATCTTCCCAAACCTGAAGATCTGATGCTGCAAAATGCAACCCCTCTCAGGAAATGAGCGCCCTGACCTCCTAACATCTCTGATGAACATGTCTCTTGTACTGTGCTTGCCACGGACAATGCATCTTTCCAGATCCTCTTCAAATAACCCACGCCTGCCAACGCTTTTGGAACTGCTACAAAACCTGCACGTTTTGCTAATTTTTGAAAGGTGCGCAATCCCTGCGCCTGCCACGTAAAACGATCTGAACGTCCAAAAGCGGTCTGAACATGTTGTGCTTTTAACATTTTGACTTGGAAATGTGCTTCGCGCCACTACGACGTGCACTTTTTCGACATCTCAACTTCCGAACATGAGGTGTTTTTTTACATTTTTACTTCGAAATCTGCTTCGTGCCACAACGGCGTGCACTTTTTCGACATCTCAACTTCCAAAAGTGCTCCGAACCTGATGTGTTTTGCACATTTTGACTTCGAAATGTGCTTCGTGCCACAACGGCGTCCACTTTTTCGACATCTCAATTCCTCAAAGTGGTCCGAAGCTAACATGTTTTGTACATTTTGACTTTGACACGTGCTTCGCGCCACAATGGCGTGCAATTTTCATTTTTCATCTGGCCAGATGGCTCCGCGCCCGCCGCTTTGGCGAGCCTACTTTTCGACCTTCCGGAGCCACAAATCATTGGAACAACTTTTCTACCTTTTCGCGCACCTGTATCTTCTTCTCTTCTCTTCTCTTCTCTTCTCTTCTCTGACTCTTCCCACCTCTGCTTTTCCATCTGTCAATATGGTCAGAAATTTGACTTCTAAACTTCCTTCGAACACGATAATGCACATTACTAAGTACTATATTCATTCAGCTGTTTTCGCAGGTCATCAGCTGGAACAGCACCATGTCCGCCTGCGAGCGCGCGCAGCAGTGGCAGATGTGCCTGGAGCTGCTGCGAGAGATGCGGCAGGATGCTGCTGTCTTCGGGGACGAGCCGGGGCCGGGGTTAGCAACAGACTGCGTGGTTTTATTGTTAAAAACCGGCAAAGGATGGTAGTTAGTGGTTTCACCAGGAAAAATGGTGGTTTCACCAGCAAAAACCATGGTTGAACCGGCAGGAATTGTGGTTTGAACATCAATAAAATGCTGATTCATGCGACAGAAAACGAGGATGCAACCAACAAACATGGTGGTCTAACCAATGAAAGTATTGGGATTTTCACACCATTAACAGCACGGTTTTTTCTCCTTCCAGAAACTGATAGGCAGAGATTGGGGTATTAATAGAATATTTGTTGGCCTTGTGGTGGATATAGCTACAGTTGAATAGTTTTCTAAACCAATAAACATAACTGAGCGGGCCCCACGTAATGTACGGGACCCTAGATTGATAGGGGTTTGGATATTCCAGCAAGAAACCAACCACTTTCTGTCCGAAAACCATGACCTGACCCACACCCAGAAGAGCACCCACATGAAAGTACATTGCCCTTTTTCTGGCCTATTCTTTTGGGAAATTCCGTGAGATCTAGAATTTGAAGGGAACTTGCATAGTTTTGGTACCTCCAATTTAGGTGGCTGAATTTTCCCCTAATTGCGCGTTCTAAGAGAAAACGATATGAATTGGGCCCACAAAATTGCGGCATCTGCGCCCGAATTACCTGCAAACATGGAATGAATAAGCAACACACATTGGGATTTCACAAGCAAAAATGGGATGCTATGGCCATAGTACTGCAGCTGCTTGAAACTAGCATGGTTGCGATTTGAGCCGTTTCTGATGGCCATTGCTGCGTCTGTTTAGTCCTATTAAGTACTACCATGAAAAAAAAGGATGCGGATTGGGATCGATGAAAGTTTGTGCATCTCATAGTAGAGTTGCTCTATCTCATTGTATTCCCGTGATGTTTCCATGATATTTCCATGATATCCCCAATCATGTGGGTAAACCCAATGCCATTTTTACCATCCCCAGTCGTCATCACCATGGCTTTATGGGTGGTGTAAACCATCCCCCAAACGGTTGTGGCAGCCAGGTGGATGCCACATGAAGAAATTAAAGGTTATGTGTTTATTGTTTTAACCGTATTAACTATATTACGGAGATATCTAATATTATATTGATAACCTATAATGATACTGATATGTTAAACCTTAATGATAACCTATATATTGATAACCTATATATTATATATTGATACATAGTATATATTAACCCATATTATATCTTATGTTTTCACTTTCTGCAGTTTCTTCGTGTTGAGTCTCCTGGTTCGAGTCTGTCTCAGAACCAGATCGAACCAGGAGGTGTCGCCGACGATGCTTAGTTTTAATGTGGCCATCAACTCGTGTCAACAGGCGTGGCGCTCACCGGCCTCACCTTTTTCTCCATTTCTTGAGGGTGAAATGTCGATGAAATCCGTATGAAATATTGTCATATTGTCATATTATGAAATTGGCTGGTTTTATATGAGCTATTATGAAGGTGAATGTTGAAACCATCAGAATGAAATATTTTTTTATTATATCATATAATCAAATATCATCATATATGCCAGAAAACACCCCCATTCAACCACCATGAAACTGTGGGTTAAATCTCTATGAAATCTCCATGTAACCGCATATAAGTACCATATGACATCGCCATTTCTGTAGGTCAAATCCCTTTGACATCCCAGATTCGGCTGTGAAAAACAGGTGGCCGGATGGCCGTGTGCCTTGAAATTGCTGGAGGAAGCCAAAGAGTTACAGCTTTCCCCTGTCCCTTGGGAGAGGTGGGAGAAGGTCAGATGAGTCACTGGGATTGATGGAATATATAAATAACTAACTAACTAACTAACTAAATAAATAAACACATAAATGAATACATAAATAAATAAATAGATAAATAAATTTAATATATATATAATTATATATATAATGTACATGAGCTATTAAACATACCTTGGTTGATGGGTAATTGAATCGAGATATACTACCTGGGTTATCACGAAAACTCCCATCGTTTGAGTAACAGAGGGATAAAACATGGGATATGATGGGGGATGTCATGGGATTTAACTAAGCAACTAATGATGATGGGATGGGGATGATGAAACATCGTTCAACACTCCTTTTCAGGTTGCTTTGATTCTGTGGGATAACACCAACCAATATTAATTGGGGAGTACCCTCTGGTAAACTAACATAGCTATTGAAAATGGCCATTTAAAGTGGATTTTCCCATTAAAAATGGTGATTTTCCATAGTTATGTTAGTTTACCAGAGGGTATCATACTCCACGAACTGGCAAATCCGTTCTGAACCAGCCAGTATTTTATAAAATGACAGAGGGTGAAGTTTGAGACCCATCTCAGATCTGGACACATCGGAGATTCGACCGATAAGGTGAAGCATTCAAGGTGGAACAATGGGCTTTCATTCCGATCTTCACTGGAGATTTGCACTGGATTGCCATGTTTGTCTAGCTGAGGGTAGAAGTGGTTACAGTCCAACTGAAGAACTTCTTGGCACGCTTTGACCAAGGACCCACTAGATTTAGACATGATGACATGGACATATCTTGAGATTTCTGGCAGCCAGTTGTATCCCAAAACCTGAGTTGGGCCAGTGGTTTCCAACCACTGGCTGATCCACTGACTAGAGCAGTGATAGATGTACTGGCAATGAAACATGACAACGGAAAATCCTCGATTTATAGTTATAGAGTATTTTCCCGTTACCCTCTGGGAAACTAACAAAAAACTATTGAACATCACCATTTTTAATGGGTAAATCAACTATTTCTATGGCTATTTTCCATAGCTATGTTAGTCATTACCAGAGGGTAAGATGCCTATTGGGGATATCCCATGGCCAGTCCATTAACAGTGATTGATATGCCCATGATTCCAGGATTCCCAAACCAGGCGTGGATGATCATACCCCTTGTACAATGTTTTGGCCATGACGCGTATGCTGATTGAAATCAAGCTGGTTTCTCTCCAATCTTCCAGCCCATTTCCGTTCGCTGCACATTGATGTTCCTATTCTGTTTGCCCTGCTTAGGCTCCAGTAAGAATACGGAAACCGGAGGCACCCACTCTAAAGAGGTACATTCTCTACAACCCAGGGATGGAGGTTCCAAATCCATGGGGGTAGCCGGTCCCAAAAAAAGTGACTGGGGATCATGAATTCAAAGCCCCTGGCTTTGGTCCCATAATTTTTGTTGGTGAAACACGAATTTTGGATGGTCAGCTCACTGTTTTTGATGCATTTCTAAGTTGCCTTTAACTCCCGAGTTTGTGTTCTGCTGAAATCCCAATATTTGAGCTGTTTTTTACAGCAGTTCGTCACTAAGGATACCATCAGTTTCACCAACCTTATTAGTTCGCTGGCAGCCAGTGGAGAGTGGCAGAGGAGCCTGTGACTCGGAGCCAAACGTTTACATGGATGTGGAACACCTACCATTTCTAGATCATTCTCCTAAGGGACGCCTTGGTTTTCCACAAAAAGTTTTGGTTCTTTTTTGTATGTTTACCCTAGGGTAGATCTTAATTACTCCAAAATCTGAAGTGAGCTAAGGATGTTTGATGTGGGGATATAAGGGGGATATACTAGGCATGTAATATGAAACCAGCCCCGCAATGATACCGTATCTAATTTTCAAAAATTGCAACATCTGAATCGCGCCCAGTCTGGGGTGGCTATCTGCAGCCATCATCTATGGTAAGAAGCAAGCATTTTTCATTATTTGTCCACCTTCATAATGGCATTTCTGGATTTTGCTATCGGCGCGTTTCATACAGTTTGGGGTTGGCAAGTAACCAGGTATTGCAAGAATGGGCGGGCAGAAAAGGAAAGAGCTGATTGAAAGAGGGAACAGCAGCAGTCATTTTGGGTGTTAGCCATTGCTAAGCCCTCTGTGACCTCTTCTCAGCTCGTTCCCACAAAAATTACATGGTCATACAGGAAATGACGCCACGAAACTGTATTGGGCGTGTCTTAAAATAGGGTACCCCTACTTCCAGTGGTTTGGACCAACCCATCTATATACAGGAAACCGTGGGCTCGTAGCATCAAGTGAATGGATTTTCTCATCATCCAAGGTGAAACGCAAGGGAGGCTACAGCAAATAAGGACTTTTCCTTTGGTCCTATGGGCTAACGCCCTGGTGCTGCCGACCCTGTTTTTGTCACAGGGCAGGGGACATGCTGTGTGCGGGCGGGTTCTGCAGGTTCATGCAACACACCTTGTTTTTGCTGCGGTTGTGTCCGATGGAGCCGTGGTGACATACAGTAGTAGGGAAATCCTGACTTTGGTGGTGACCGCACCGCAGTCTCAGATTAGCTCAGAGATGTGTGTATGCAACAGCTTTGCTTTCGCTGCCATTTTGGCCAATGGTGAAGCAGTGAGCAGAGCCTACGTCGCCGCCGCTCGGGCTGATTTTGGCAGCAAAACGGGGCCAGGGCAGCCACGCAACATTTTCGAAAGCCGAAATAGAAGCAGTTTGCACGGCTTATTTCGCCGCTCACGCTTGCTTTGGCGGCGTCCTGCGGCCAGGGCGACGCTTGTTTTGGCAGCAGGTCCGACGTCGCCGCTCGGGCTTGTTTTGGCGGTGCTTGCAGAGGAGGGCCACGGCCTTGGTTGAGAAGCCTTCGAATAAGGCTTTCAAAGCGTGGCTAAAACATACCACACAGCAGTTTCGAAAGCCTATATAGAAGCAGTTTGCAAGGCCTACGTCGCCGCTCGGGAGCCTGCGCAGCAGTTTCGAAAGCCTCTATAGAAGGAGTTTGCAGGAAGGTGCAGCGGAGGGTTTTTAGGGTTTTCAGGATTTTGAAAGTTTTAGGTTTTAAGGCTTCTAAGGCGTGGCCAAAATGTGCCACGCCAAAATGTGCCACGCAGCAGTTTCGAAAGCCTCTATAGAAGCAGTTTGCGCGGCTTAAGTCGCCGCTCACGCTTATTTTGGTGGCGTACTGCGACCATTTTAAGGCTTTTAAGGCGTGGCTAAAACGTGCCCCGCAGCAGTTTGGAAAGCCTCTATAGAAGGAGTTTGCAGGAAGGTGCAGCGGAGGGTTTTAGGGTTTGAAGGGTTTTGAGGGTTTTAATTGAACAATTTTAAGTGTTTTGAAGCCTTTAAGGCGTGGCCAAAACGTGCCACGCAGCATTTCGAAAACCTATATAGAAGCAGTTTGCAGGGCCTACGTCGCCGCTCGGGCTGATTTTGGCAGCATACCGCGGCCAGGGCAGCCACGCAACAGTTTCGAAAGCCGAAATAGAAGCAGTTTGCACGGCTTACGTCCAGGGGGAGGCTTGTTTTAGCAGCAGGGCCCACGTCGCCGCTTGGGCTTGTTTTGGCGGTGCTTGCAGAGGAGGGCCACGGCCTCAGTTGAGGAGCCTTCGAAAGCTGCAGCGGAGGGTTTTAGGGTTTTAAGGGTTTTGAAGGTTTTAAGGGGTTTTAAGGCTTTCAAAGCGTGGCTCAAACGTGCCACGCAGGAGTTTCGAAAGCCTATATATGAGATTCCGCCAACATTTGCGCTGATTAATTATGTACTGGAATTTGCATCGGATGTTGGCTGCTACATGAAACTTGCTTTAAAACGATAGGGGACTCACAAAAAACGATACGTTTTTTGCTTGCGCAGCCTTGCGCGTTTTGTGGTGTGGGCATAGTGTTTGCTTAGGCAAGGTTGTTTTTCCACGGTCGGATCCACTTCACCATGAATGGGTGTGCCCATGCGGCGGGTTGACTGTAATTACATGACTTTACGCTACTGTACCCATAGGTGGGTTGCTTAAACTCGGCGCCGAGTAGCTCGGATTACGGAAGCCATGCATCTAAGACAGGCAGTGCAGGCATGCTGGAGTGGCCAACTCCATGCAGTATCTCGTTTTGCTGCCTGGCCTAGCTTTGGCAGACCGCAGCAAGCTATTCATTCAGTCTCGTGCGCATGTGACTTGCAAAGATGGAGCCCGCGCAGAACGATACCCAACACCCAAACGATACCTAAATCTTTCCCAAAGCCCCCCGGGTGACCAGCTAACTAGTCACAAAACAGGCCGAACAGGTGGTGGATGTTGGTAGAATGTCGTAGTGATGGACTGCATTTTTGTGGGCTGGCTGGATAATTCTTGTAATTAGCAGCTGTGAGTGGTTAAAGTATGCCAAAAACTGCCAAAACCAATTTGTTCCAAAAGACCTGCTGATTGGAGAGACCGCCCAAGCAGCGGGAAGGAGGACCACGTGAGAGACAGGCATGGGCAAAAGCACAAATGTCCTCCAACGCATGCAAACAAAGATCGCCAGGGATGAGGATCCAAGTGGACGCACTTCAAAACTATGCTTAAACAGATGAAAAAAATGTGTCAAAACATGAAAAAACAGGAAGCCCTGTAAAATGATAGGGGGCTCACTAACTTGATGACGCATTTGGCGTAAACAATGAATTTCGACCGTGGTTCATATAGAAGCAGTTTGCAGGGCCTACGTCGCCGCTCGGGAGCCTGTGCAGCAGTTTCGAAAGGTCATAGAAGGAGTTTGCAGGAAGGTGCAGCGGAGGGTTTTAGGGTTTTAAGGGTTTTGAGGGTTTTAAGGTTTTTAAGGCTTTTAAAGCGTGGCAAAACGTGCCACACAGCAGTTTCGAAAACCTATATAGAAGCAGTTTGCAGGCCCTACGTCGCCGCTCGGGCTGGTTTTGGCAGCATACTGCGGCCAGGGCAGCCACGCAACAGTTTCGAACGCCGAAATAGAAGCTGTTTGCACGGCTTATTTCGCCGCTCACGCTTGTTTTGGCGGCGTATTGCGGCCAGGGCGAGGCTTGCGTACGGTCAACGCGTTGATAGTGCATTAAATTACTAAGTGAGGAAAATTTTGTTGCCAAATTTTAGCCACCCGGCTATCCTACGCCTTTGCTCACCCGAGCATCGTAACATGCCAGGGATGAACCTGTGAAAATCAACCAAGGAAATTATTTGTCAATCTGTTTGTTTTCTTTTTGGATGATGCTCAAATAAACCAATGTCAGCAAAACACCAGAAAGCAATCTTGATTTATGCCATTGACTGTGATGATGTTGATACATTTTGGATTTTGGTCTGAAGTTTTTTCATATCAAGTGGCCTGTCCCGGCCCTATTCCCACCCGGCCACTTGACTAACCTTGCTGCTCTCGTGAGACACTTCCTAGCTCAAACTTGCAAACGCAGCTTTCAGCACCTTTGCACTGCCCATGCAGCAGGCCAACATAGTGAACTTCAGCGTGTTCATATCAGTGGCTCTACTTTATATGGACACCATGCAGCCAGAACCTCGAGTTCAGGTCTTTGAAACCACCACTGCGGCATTGAAGCCGCTTTTGGAAGCGTGCGGACGCCCGCTTTTCCTCAAAGCGGTGTTTGAGACTTGGGCGAGTATGACTAATTCTTTAGTCGTACTCGAACGCAACCATTTTCCTGATCTCCCACCTGAGACCAGGAACATCACTTGCACTCCCAAATTGCCCTCAACCTCTGAGTGCCATTTTGGATCCGAGATTCCGTGAACACCGTGGAAAATTTGGCCCAGCCGTGCAGGCCCTAAACCAGTTCATCGATTGGTTTACCGTGCAGTACGATACAGACCTTCATGTTGACACGCTCAACATGTTACAGGACACAATGCTACTCCTGCAATCGTGTCAGGCTTTGGTCGAACTCGCTCCTGCAGATCCAGTTGTTGAAGAAGTGCCTCCTGCGCTGGCTGCTCCCGTGCATCGAGCCACTGCGGACCCACCAGTGGACCCAAATCAGCCGTGTATGGTCCTACTCCCTGGAGAATACTGACGTGACCAGCCAGCGAGCCAAATTTTCCAGGTTCATCAGTCTTGGTCGAGCTGGTGCATGATGCTTTTTGAATATTTTTTCCGAAGTGCTGCGGCCGTGCAGATGTTTGTGCCACCAGCATGATCGCTGGCGAGAGAAGCATGGCCACCAGAGGCCTACACTGATGTGGTGTGGCATTTTGAATTTTGCAGCAGTGGTGTGACCACGCATTCCCCATCGCAGTTGAGCAAAAAGAGTGAAGTGCGATTTCCACCTTCAGTGAATTCTCATGCTTTCTTGTGTTTCATGTTTTCGGTTTTCACTTTGAAGTTTCATGTATCTTGGAAGTATTGACGGCGTGGCGACCGTGCGTGTAATTTAAGGAAAGCTTTCACAGGTGAGGCCATGCCAATGCCGTACACCTACGGTGATCCCAGCGCCGCCCCGCCTAGGCCAAGGCTAGGCAGGGGTCGGCGGATATGGCTTGGTCGGCAAACCAATAGATTTAGGAGGTTGTTTTCCCCAAGAATTTGCAGACAAACCGAAATATTCCACAGATCTCCCATGACTTGATCATCTCGTTTGCATCCCCAAGCTTTTATAGTTTTTTTTGGCGACATTCCTAGCTTGCCCGAAACGTTCCGCCGGGTGACGTTGCGTAGCGGGCGTGTTGCGCATAACGAAAGGTATCCACATTTCAATGGATCGGTCTAAGGGAACATTTTACAGGAAACCCCTACATTTATTTCCATGGCAAAAACCATGGTTTCTGGTTAATTTTTTTCCCCGAAAAACCAAGTCATTGAAACTAAATGAGCGAACATAACTCCAACTTCACTCCAGTTTTGGGGATCTCGAGCCAGTTACGGTGGTGCCAGGTGCCTCTTGGCGGAGATGAATCATCAGCACCTGAAACCCAGCGTGCTGAGCTACAACTCTGCCATGACAGCGTGTAACAAGAGCCGCTGGTACAGCAGGTAAGATGGGAACTTGGGTGGGTTTAGTTATCTAGGGATGGGGAATCATCTGCAAAATGGCGCAAACTTTGAATTTGGGGGACAGGGTTTTGACCAAACATATGGGGAAAAATGGGGAAGAAGACAAAAACTATTGGTTTAGAACATCCGTTTCACTGTTTGGTGGTTATAAATAGGGGTATGGCCCGTTTCTTCATTGGGACGTGATTCTTGATCAGTAAAAAAAACAGTGGATTTAACATGATTTAACGCAACGAAGTAGGGGATTAAATAATCGTAACCCCCAACAATAGAAGCGTTGGACGTCCGTTGGACACCTGGAAAGATCTGGAAAGTTCTAGAGAACATCTCATCCTTACCATCCTGGGATCCTGGAGATACTTGGCCTGCCAGACAGACTTCCCGCAAAAATCAAGCTCAGTTGTTGGTCAATTCCAGTGAATTCCGTATATATATATATATAATTATATATATATATAGAGTTTTTGGAAAATCCATAGGGAATATTTAACATATCAAACAACCATTGTGCTTGATACCATGATTTCCATTGAGTTCCATATTGATGGTGATACTCCCATGATTTCTATCGTTTTTTTGGGATCTTCACAAGCCGAGGTTCGGAGTCAGGACCCGGGGCGAGTTGGCAATGGGCGCTGCGCTTGTTCCATGCCTTGCCGAGCAAAAAAGGTGCGGCACCGATGGTGTCAGGGTCCCGGCAGGATAGAATTATGATTATAATATATTATACTGTATCTACATCATAATATATATATATAGAATATAACGTATATATATATATATACAATGAAAAATGTAAAAGATGTGTGTGTGTGTATATATATATATACACACATCTGGAACCCGAATGACCCTTGTTTTGGAGGTTTTTACCCGTAAGGAGGAGTAGCCATCCAAATTTTGGGTCGTGTTGCACGTGACTGGGAATGGGCAAACAGGAAGACACAAGCAACACACATTGGAAAATAACCAGCAAGACAAAACATATTACGTGCCCCAGTCTGCCCCAGTTGGTTAGCTAAGTCGGTCCACAACTACCAGCAACTTAACTAGAATTTTATGATAGATAATATGATATATCTATAGGTGATGATGGAGTTTATGAAGCGACTTATAAGTTGGGGCACCCCCTTGTACGGGCTATCAACCCATTTGTGCGGCCAATTCTTGTAAAGACTTCCTTTTGCAAGCAGGATGGATGAATGAACAATTTGCCAACCCCACCCCTGTAGAGTTCTCTGGTGGCATTTGCGTTCTTCTTGGTCAGAGCTCAGTTTTCGTCGTTGACCATCTTGTGTTAAGCTTTACACCTCGTTTTTGTGAGTTCCGTCCTTGTTGTTTATTCTTTAAGTTTACATGTTCTGGAAAGCCGCCAGATTGATTCTGGGCACCACTTTTCTTTCTATGGCGCGTTCCATTCCAGACTGCTCCAGCCAAGAAAATGCATGAGTCTCAGACGTTTCCGCTCAAGGCATCAGTCACACCAACAGCCCGTGTTTTCAATGCAGGTCGCAGACGCACCATCCGAGATACGAAGGAGTTCCGACCTCGGCTCTGTCAGTTGGAAACACCTGGGGCTGGCTGCCTTGGTCTCCTACGCTTTGGGCATCTGCACATTCCTCCTTTGGTCCGCCCTGACTGCCCTGACTCGGCCGAATCCACGTGGTCCCAATGGGCCGAAGGTGCTGAAAGACTCAGAGTATCCTCCAAAGTATGGCAAGATACCTGAGAAAACGATCTGGTTCTACTACAACAAGGGTTGGGATCCCATGCCCAACCGTTTGGTTGACCTTTGTGTTCAAAGCTTTTGTGTGACCTGGATCCGCTTTCTGATCTTTTTCATGGCTCGATCAAAGTCACTTTTTGAAGGTCTTGTTTGGTTGTATCTGTATCTATCTATGCTATATTCACATACGCATGAGTGTATATATAAAAACAATTATATATATATACAATTAAAAATATAATTAAATATATAGTTATATATATAAAGTTGTATATAGAATATAAAAAATATGTATATATTTAAATAAATATATATTTATTTAGTTATATATATTGATCTAGTTATATATATTTATATAGTTATATATATTATAGTAATGTACTGTTATATATATATGTATGTATATGTATGTATGTATATGTAAGTATATGTATATATGTATATATGTGTTTTATGTATATATGCATATATGTATATATGTTTTATGTATATATGTATATGTGTATAAATGTAAATATGTATATATGTATATATGTGTATGTGTATATGTGTATATGTATATATGTATACATGTATATATATGTATATATATGTAAATATATGTATATATGTATGTATATATATATATTGATATGTATATATACATATATACATATATAAACGCATATATATGTATATGTATATATATATAAACACATATATATGTATATGTATATATGTATATATGTATATATGTATGTATGTATGTATGTATGTATATTTGTATATATGCATGGAATGTATGTATGTATGTATGTATGTATGTATGCATGTATGTATGTATGTATGTATGTAATGTATGTATGTATGTATGTTTGCATGTATGCATGTATGCATGTATGCATGTATGCATGCATGTATGTATGTATGTATGTATTGATATATGTATATATGTATATATGTATATATGTATATATGTATATACGTATATATGTACATATGTACATATGTATATATGTATACAGGTGGTGCCAGAATTATAGAACGGAGCCAGGAGTACAAAAGTACGGTAAAATACCGTACCTTTGTACTCCTCCGGGTTCCGATTCCGCGCGGAGTCGGGAAATTTAATTATAGAAGGGGGATCCGTTCTATAATTAAATTTCCCCGTTCTATAATTAAATTTCCCCGTTCTATAATTTCTGGCACTGACTTGATATTTACTGCATATTTGTACATATACAATCTATAAAATGAAGATTTAATGAGTAAATTCATATACATTTTTTTTTCATACTTTCCGAGGAAAACAGAATTATAGAACAACAGGGTACGGTAAATAACCGTACCTTCGTACTCCTCAACTTCCGTTCTATAATTCTGTTTTCCCCCATTTTTCCCACATTTACCAGGTGATTTTCTTAGATTTCAGGGTGATTTTCTTAGATTTCAGGGTGATTTTCTGAGATTTCATGGTGATTTTCTTAGATTTCATGGTGATTCTCTGAGATTTCATGTTGTTTTTGTGGGATTTCATAGTAATTTTATGGGATTTAATGGTGATTTTATGGGATTTCATGGTGATTTTATGGGATTTCACGGTGGTTTTCTTAGATTTCATGGTGATTTTGTAGGATTTCTGGGACCCCGGAAGAGGTTCTATAATTCTATAATTAATTATTCCGTTCTATAATTAATTTTTCCGTTCGACGGAAAAATTAATTATTGAACGGGGCCCGGGAAACATTAATTATAGAACGAAAATGGGAAATGTGAGAAAAATGGGGGAAAACAGAATTATAGAACAGCAGCGCTCCGACAAGAATTATAGAACGACGAAAAAAGTTAGGAGTAATTTCAGATACGTTTTTTTTTTCACACCTTCCGAGGAAAACAGAATTATAGAACAACAGGGTACGGTAAATAACCGTACCTTCGTACTCCTCAACTTCCGTTCTATAATTCCGGCACCTCCAGTATATGTATAAATGTATATATTTATATATGTATGTATGTATATATATATGTGTATATATATATATGTATGTATATATATATGTATATATATATATATGTATATATATATATGTATGTATATATATATATGAATATATACATATATATATGTATATATACATATATATATATATAAACACACACACATATATATGTATATGTATATATATATATGTATATGTATATATGTATATATGTATATATGTATATATGTATATATGTATATATGTATATATGTATATATGTATATATGTATATATGTATATATGTATATATGTATATATATGTATATATGTATGTATGTATATATGTATGTATGTATATATATATTTATGTTTGTATATATATTTTTTTAATGAATATATACATATATATGTAAATACGTATATACGTATATATGTATATGTATATATGTATATATGCATATATGTATATATGTATATATGTAAATATGTATATATGTATATATGTAAATATGTATATGTTTATATGTATATGTATATATATTTACATACCGAGATAGATATTGTATATACATATGTTATTTTGATTTATTTTGCATCTACCGTACATCTACACTCAAAATGCGGTTCGCAAGATCCAAGGTTAATAACCCAGATTGGAACTTTGAGTTTGTGAGCGATAGCAATGTGCTGGAGTATGTGAGCCCAGAGATGCTACCAGATGCGTATTGGACCTGGCATAAGCCCGCCAACAAGAAAGATGCTTCGATGATTTTTGGCGCTAAACAAAAAAAACACCGTCAAAAGTTAGCACCCGAAAAAAACTCTGATTTTCAGTATTTTTTGAATGATACGTAAATGTACATAATTACAATCGGTTAATCCACAATTTGTATCTGTATATCTATTTATACATATGTATAATATATCTGTGTGAATTAAGAACATTTGGGGATGATTCCGCTGATTAACCATGATTCCAGTAAGGGAGAACAGTGAGGTCCTCATAATTTGCCCATATATATATATATATACATATATTTTATTGTTAAATAAATAAATATATATATATATATCTATAACATAATGTATATATAGTATATACTATATATTATTTATTATTTATAATATAATATAATATAATTTAATGTAAGATAATATAATCTAGAATCAGATAACCTAATATAATATGATATGATATAAAATGATATCATATGATATCATATACTATGAGATGATATAATATAGTATAATATGAGATGGTATAATATTATATAATTTATAATAGAATTTATAATTTAATAATACAATATAATATAATATAATATAATGTAATATAATATAAGATAATACACACACACACATATATATATAATCCATGACAAATCCCGTTTTAGCAGGTCGGGAACTCCCTTGCTCATTCAAAACCACATCCACCCTAAAGGAGAATCGATTGCAATGTGTTCCCCCCGCAGTTGTGTTTGTTGGTTAAAAAAAACACATGAACTACATCTGAACCATAAACCCAAGAGTGAAACTCATGAAGTCTTCGTGAAAATTCGACCTTTCAGCCATTTTTCTTTGCCCTTCGTCGATGCACCAACCAGTTTCCACCAAGGATATGGTCATGGCCAATGTCTTGGCGTTGTACGGAGGCGTGGCAGCGGATTCCACCATTCTGAATTTCAAATCGCTGAATGTGCTGTGGAATCGCATGTTGACGGATGCTGCGGATGCCGTGATCTGGTTGAGAAAAAAACCCGGATGCCATGGGAGGGTTTAACTAAACCTCGAATTGATAGTTTAAATCACGATTTTTCATAGGGATATATAACTATAATAGGGGGATATAACTATTTAATAGGGATCTAGCGATCAATTTTCATAGGGTCTAGCCACTAATTTTAGATATAGATAAAGGTGGCCAATTTAGTGAGAAATGATTTACCATTCTTAGCTCTGTTTGCCATGGCTATGTTACCAGAGGGTAGACATATCTTTGGGGGAACACTTGAAATGAAAAGGAACTACAGAGTTTTCTATCCGATCGCTTTGGGGTTGAACATGAACCCAGGTGGTCTACTGGTACAGATTCACTGAACCCTGGCCAGAACACGACAGTTCTGCTGCGTGGTTTTTCATGGCGCGTCGAGACACAGGCGGGGTTGTCTCAACATGTGGAACTCCATTTCATGCCATGTTTTTTTTAATCATGGCTTATCATGATTTATCATGGTTTATAATCATTATCATGGTTTATCATGATTTATCATCATTTTCCTCGCTATTTCATTATTGGAATCCTATCATCATTTTCCCTGGCCTATTACATGGCCTATTACATGGGCGTCGCATCCCAAAAACAGACTGAGGGATCTTCAGACGCTATGCGCAAGACATTAAGACCCATTTTGGCAATGTGCACCTCGACGTCTCGCGCGTTGGAGGAAAACCATACCTGGCCTTTGCCACTGGAACTGTCGAACCTATCATGATTGAGATCAACAGTTCACTTCCACTTTGCTCAACTGATCCCAACACAGCTGGCCGCAAGACATGTGCCACTGCTATGACACATCATGTTGCGGCAAACAAGGATTTGAACAATACCAAAGTTGTCTTTTTGGACCCCAATGACCAAAACCATGGTCCTCAACTGAACACTTGGGATGCACTGTGCATCAACAATGGCTTCCTGGATTGTCCCACTCCCTCACTTTCACGTCCCAGTGCAAAGGAGCTCGCCAGAAAAAGTTCTACAACTTAAATCAAATCTAGGGAACAATTTATACCCATGACGGCTATAGATATCATTAGATCTAACAGTGTAGATTTAGTGAATCATGTTAGTATACTAGGGTTTACTGATGTTTTTTTTTAAAAAATCCACGTTTGTCAGGCCAGGTCAGGCCGAGTCAGGGTTCTGTTTCCCTATGTCGCATCAGGATCTCTGGGAGCAATATCAGGGTCGCAAAGACAACCCATACTTCACAATGATCAAACTCTTTGGCGGCGGGGGGAGATTTGCCAAACAGCATCCGGAGCTTCTGCTGCTCAACAAAGACGATGAGAGAGAAACTCACTGGAGAAATGGTGCTTGTTTTTATACATATTCGGAGGTTTCCTGCAATGGCGGTACCCCAAAATGGATGGTTTATAATTTACAATAGAAAATCCTATTTAAATGCATGATTTGGGGGTACCACCATTTGGAGAAACCTTCATTTCTAATGATTTTCCACCTGAAAATGGATGAATGTGGGATGATTGGTTATTTCATTTGCAATTTGTTGACTTTCCCCTTGTTTCAGATGATGACGGAAAAATCGTTTTCAGGGGTGTGGCAACCACCAAGGAAAATGTGATGAGCATGTGGTTCAAAGATGCTGGAATTGAGCTGGACAAGCCCAACTACTGTGGTTCTATCTCCGGGCAGATGTTGAAGAATGAAGGTCTTCGGTCCGAAACAACGGACCAGTCCGCATCGACATTTCGATTTCCAACCGAATACGTCTAGTTGTTGCACTGCTACGGCCGGTTGCGCAGCGCATCGGCCGGTTGCGCAGCGGCCATGGAGATTTGTTTAAGACGTGGGCAACTGAGTGAGAAAATCATGGCAATCCACTAGGTCTGGGGATATCCCATCCACAATTTATGTAAATGTGGTAAACCGAATCATGAAGCCTAAATTCTTGATGTCTTGATGGTTAATACCCTCCGGTTTCTGGTAAACATGGGGATGATTTATCAATGGGTTTACCACATCATTATACGCATCATGTAGCAAAATCACCTGCAAAAGAATAGTTTTGTGATAGACCCAATACAACAACCATTTTTTGAAATGGCCTATGCAATTCAATGCAATTCATTTCTCCTCAGCGGGGATGCTCTATGGCTTTGGTTTCCTACGTCACTTTGTATCTAAACCTTACCAAGAAATTACGTTTATCACAGGGTTCACGTATTTTAACTTGTTGCAAACCCAATGATCATGGTAAATGCGTTGATTATTGGCTTCAATGTTCCATACAACTCTTATTAGTACCATTGTTCCTACTAACTAATATTCTGTAAGGATGGTCAATCGTACTGGTAAATCCTACGTACTGTTATGACTGTTGTTACATACAACGTCAGGAGGGCATCATGTTTGTCACACTGATTTTGATCATAAATCGATGTCTTGCAACCCGCGGATGTCCGCTGCTTAGTCAGCAGGTCAGTTTCGAGCTGCAGGCAAAGTTCCTGAAGCCAGAGTTGAAATGAGAGGTTCTGCTCAGGTACAAAAGTATATCATGTGCGGATTTTACTTAATTATACCAGTAAACCTCTGTATACAAGTATGTCTAACATATAATCCCTTACCCCTAATACGAACCCCCCAAATAATAAACACTTCAGGTAGTTTTTAATTATTAGGGGGGTTCCCTAATAATCAATTTATATAAACACTTAATAAACAAAACTATTTTTTTCGATTTCAAAATCAATTAAATTTCCTTCTATATCGCAATTAAAATATTGCCAAAAATTCGATTTCGAAGCGGATCTTAGTAGTAAATTCAAAACCTTAATTTAAAACTATTTTTGTCGATTTCAAAATCAATTCAATCTCCTTTTATAACCCAATTAAAATATTGCCAAAAATTGGATTTCGAAGTGGATCCTATTAATGAATTTAAACCCTTAATAGAAAAAACTATTTTTTTTGATTTCAAAATCAATTAAATTTCCTTTTATACCGCAATTAAAATATTGCCAAAAATTGGATTTCGAAGCGGATCCTATTAATCAATTTTAAATCTTAATTAAACAACTATTTTTTTCGATTTCAAAATCAATTCAATTTCCTTTTATAACCAATCAAAATATTGCCAAAAATTGGATTTCGAAGCTTCCCCCTAATATTCAATTAAAAATCCTAATGCAAAAAGCACAAAAAATCACGGACCCTAGCAATAAACACCCCGGGGCGAACTAGTTTTTATTATTAGGGGGCGAAACCCACAAATGGTAGCTTTATTTTTAATTTGTTTTCTAAAGGGGATCAATTAAAAGTCAAATTGGCCAACCTGAAATTTTCCAAAATTAGAGATGGACCCTAGTTTTTATTACTGGGGGGGTTAGTAATAGGGGGAAGGGATTACATAAATAAGATTAGGACATAGATATATTATTTTCCTTTGGCACGTTATTGATGGATGTTTTCCCCGGCTGTTGAAAAGAAGGACCCCACAATGGAGCCGCTCTTCAGCGCCCAATGGGTACCCCACAACAGCCACTGGTTTCTCATTGCCATTTCAACCGTATGGATTCGAATGGGTTTGAAACAAACATAGTGCACGTGTTTTTGTTTTATTTTCTAATCTGTTTGGATCAAAACCTAAGTGACAAGAGTATCGCGGCATGCCAGGAACCAGTTAAAGTGCAGTCTTACAGAACAACCCTGGGTCGTTTGGGCTGAAAGCAATGGTGTCCTGAGTTTCCGTCATCGACCATGGCGGAAAAAGAATTGCTCCAAACTGGTACCCCATTCTTGACGAGGTCAAGCCATGGATTAACCCCGAGGTCATTAATATGTTGGGAAAGTAGGAGCCGGTGTTTATCCTGGGTTGACATGGCTGTACGGTAGAGTCGGAGGGCTACCGCTCCGTTGAAACCGGGCCGCCGTGCCCAGTTGCTCCGGATGCGTTGAGCTACAACATCGCGATGAGCGCTTTGGAACGTGGCGGTGATTGGACTGGAGCCCTCTGGTTGTTGGAGGCATCAACCCAGGAGGGTCCCTTTTGAAGTAATCAAACATGGCTGGAAAATTCCAGAACTAAATGGAGGTTTTAGTGGGAAATCATCGAACCAAATGGGTGAGTGCCCATTGCTATGTTTGATTTCTTCGTTTCTTCTGTACATGCGGTGTACTTCAATTTATTTCAATTTCAAATGTGCATCTCACTTAGGGAATGAGCAGTAACCCGACCCAATTAGTCCCCCATTCCTTGTATTATCCAATTTAGAAGTGTGACAGGGATGGACATCCACCAATTGTATCCGAGATTTCTGCAGAATCCCTTGCCCCTTCAATCACGGCCCAGATGTTGGAGTCCCCAAAAAATCTGGCAGCTTATTGTCAGCAGGTCGGGAATCATATATTTGTTTGTGTATGGCACATGGTTTGAACCTTCAAATTGTAGGTTGCCCTCTGGTAAACTAACATAGCTATTGAAAATGGCCATTTATAGTGAGTTTTTCCAGAAAAAAATGTGATTTTCCATAGTTACGTTAGTTTACCAGAGGGTATGTAAAGTTGTACCACAGGTTACACTATCATTCCTGATGGCCTTGGGCCTTGGCACTGAAAAAAATCCGGTTCGGGGAATCCACTGTGGCTGGAGAATTCTATAACTAGCCATGGAGGTTTATACATACCCTCTGGTTATGTCAAAATAGCTATGGAAAATGGACCATAGAAACAGATGTTTTTCCCAATAAAACCTCCATTTATAATGGATTTTCCAGTTCGCTATGTTAAATTACCAGCTGATCATAACTGAGGGAAAGTCATCGAACTCAAAATCTGGGAGATTTTTGCAAACGCTTGCTTCCATCGCCACGTTTAAGCCTTGACACAAAGGAGGGGATTGCCGAAAATTTAAGCCATGACATCCACCATGACACGTTAAGCCGTTACTACCTTGGTTACTACCCCAAATGCCGCTGATGTGCCGATAACCAAATTTTCGTTGTCGAGCTGTCGAGCCTTTTTTTTTGACCCATGAGATACTGGCTGGCATACCTCTTAATTCTTACTGTTCAAAAGCCAGTTTTAAATTGTTAATTTGCAAAAGCCTCTTTTGCATCCTTTTGATGATTATACGACATGCAATCATGTTATTTTGACACCATATGTTGCTTGGTGATCTCATCATTATTTTTGTTGATCTGAATGAGGCAAAACCAATGTCATAAACCGTTCCAACTGAATTTTTGGTGGGTCACAACGGTCACAACTGACCATAGATGTCGCTGTGTGACAACTGTGTTTCCAGGTGGTGTTCATCAAAAATTTCCCACTGGACCGACCCTTAAATTGGGGTTGCTACCAGCAACTTAACACTACTCAAATCATAGTAAAAAAGTACCATTTCTTCTAGTGAAAAGTAACACCTTTTTGGAAAGCGAAATATCCACGATTTTATACAATTTTATGCCATGTGAAAAATTACCATATCTTCCCCCATCCCCCAAGCACAGGCTGCTGGCCCGTCTCCATACCTGCGCGCCTATGGGGACGAGGATCAGGTTGAAGGTGCGGTGCTCGCGCAATGGAAGAAGATGCAGTGTCTTGGTGCGGTGGTTACCAACGGGGGTGCAGGACTGAGGCTACTTTGATACCCTCTGGTAAACAAACATAGTTATGGAAAATCACAATTTTCAAGTTCGGTAAATCAACCATTTCTATGGCCATTTTCAATAGCAAACGGTTAAATTACCAGAGGATATCCTTTATGGGTAAACGGTATAACCGTGCTTCTAACCTTCCAAAAGTTGGGATATACAGTAACCCCCTATTACTGTAACTGTGGTGAAAAATCTCCACTTCGAAAAAAGGAACTGCACGCCACCAAGTATAGCAACTTCCCCCGAAACCGATGGAAAAGGTGACATTTGCCATGCTTTTCCATGATTGAAAAGTAGAATCTTACTTTTCTAGTAGCAAATTATGGTTGATGGGTGACTGTTTAACATGGTGATTTAGCCATCATTTCTGATGGGATTGACTGGGGATTTACTTGAGAGGCCTATTTTTTTTTGGATTTTTTCTTTTACGTTTTTGGATTTTTTTTGGGTTTCTTGTTTTATCTTGCTTTCTCCTTTTTTTTGCGTTTTTGCTTTTGTGCTTTTTTGTTTGTTTTTTTTTGTTTTTTTGCTTGTTTGCTTTTTTTGCTTTTTTGCTTTTTTGCGTTTTTGCTTTTTTTTGCTTTTTTTGCTTTTTTGCTTTTTTGCTTGTTTGCTTTTTTGCTGGTTTGCTTTTGTGCTTTTTTGCTTTTTGCTTTTTTTGATTTTTTGCGTTTTTGCTTTTTTGCTTTTTTGCTTGTTTGCTTTTTGTTTTTTTGCTTTTTGTTATTTTTGCCTTTTTTGCTTTTTTTTCTTTTTGCTTGTTTGCTTTTGGCTTTTGGCTTGCTTTCCATGGCTTTTGGTGGTATTTTTAGTATGTCAAACTTGCACATTTTTCAATACACTAGTTTGAATCGACTATATTCATATATATATATTTATGTTTAAATTAAAATCATAATATATATATATACAATTATATATATTTACATATATATATATATGTATATGTATATATATATGCATTTATATACACACTTGTATATTTATATCTAGATATATTTATATTATTTATATTTTCTACTTATATATATTATATATATATATATACATATTATTACTATTTATGTTCAAATTCAAATATATATATATATTTACACATATATATATATACATATATAT